TGGGTAACATTGTGGAGATAGTTGAAGATCCTATAGAATATTGATTAGATTAACATGTATTATAAAATAATTTAAACCTTCTTCTAATATCTCATTAATATCATTGGCATCAACACCTATTTCCTCCTCTTCCAATACATGTTGACTATCATTCTGTATCTCATCTTCAGCATTATCCTCACCAAATATTCTATATTCATATTAAATAGGACAAATTAAATTATTCATCCAGTTTTAATAGAAATGTCTAGTAATATTTATCAAAAATGGTGTGGAAAAATCATTTCTTAGTATTCTAAATTTTGAACCTCAGGGATTATAATGTAACTAAGCAAAAATATTTTATCAAATGAATACATTGAATGAATTCCCTGTACTGTATATAAATTGATGGCAATTAATCAATAAGAAATAAATATAGTAAAAATCTAATCATCCATGAAATATTCAATAACCATATCTTATTAAATGTTAGATTAGCTCAATGACACTGTACAATAAAAATTAATGAAATAATCCACCTCTGTTTTATATTTTATTAGTTAATTTCCCTAATTTTATTTATAATTTGATATAAATTATGATAATCATAATATTATTAAAATATGTGTGTATTTAGTTAATAAAAATTCTATAAATAATGTGAAATATTAAAATACTAAATATTTTATAGATTAAATAATAACCATTCCATTCTGATTAATTTACTGCCCAAAAAATCATAACTTAAAATAAATATTATAAATAAATTTGTGATATAACCTAAATGCCTTCAGGTAGTTAGACCCATTATCAGTAACCATCTTGCAAACTTTATTATGAATCCTAAAAGACTTGTGGATGTCAATAATTTTATTTGCAAGTACGTCATATGTCTGGCATCCTATAATCCTTTTAAGGGCTAAGGCTACAGATCTTCTTTTTAAAGTCCTAGGGTCTAACCAATGGCCTGTGATTCCCAAATAAGCTCTAAAAATATTTAATCAGATCAATTTATAAATATAAATAAGTTTTTACCTTCTGTGATGTGTCCAACTATCTGCCGTGGTACATACATAAGATATATCTGATAACTCTACTATTAGAGCATCTTTCATCACTTTGAAGTTGTCGGCTATTTTATTCATAAGTGTCTGGCGACATAAAACTGTTGTTCCAGGGGATAAAGTTTTAATCATCATAGTAAATGATGGATTATCAACCAAGGACAATGGCTGAACTGTGTCAATAATAAAATCAACAATTACTTTATCAGCCAATTTTTGTGAAATATTGGCATGTTTATTATCAGTTAATTTGGTTTGGATAGTATTTGTCTTTTTGAATGAAGATTCTCCTATATCAAAATTTTTTATATGTTTCTCTATTTCCTTATAGCAATTGGCGTGAACAGTCTAATAAAATAAATAATATTATAATGTAAAAATAACAATTTACCTTTAGGTGTTTCTTCAGGTTATAGCTACTCAATTGATTTGATGATATATATTTTTTAAAATTTTAAGCACAGGAATTTGAATCCAGATTTTGTTTTAATATTTATTTTAAAAAATTTTTCAAATCTAGGGAATGGGAAATCGTTATTAGAGTTATTAAGTACATTTTCTTCCATTGAATCTTCCATGTCCGAATCACTTTCAAGGATTTGGATATCCATGGGTGATGCCATTTTAGATTATTAACACAGATTGAAAATATAAATTAAAAATTGAAAATATATTTAAATTTCAAAATTAAATAATAAATTATAAAAATTATAATTAATTATGATATTATATTTAAATTTTCATGTTTATACTTACATTCATTATATTTTTTAAAAGTAGCGAAGTAGCGCGCTACTTAGCTACTTTAAAAAAAAGAAGCGCGCTAAAAAATTAAATAATTAAAAAAAAAGTAGCGGCTATTAGCTATAGCTACCAAAAAAGATAGCGCGCTAAGTAGCGTGCTACTTTAACAACTCTGGTATCCATCTTATCAGTTCTTCGCCCACAAGATCAATCTTTGAATACGGTATACGCCTTGGTGGTAGTATTTTAGGTTGGGCGTCACATCTTAAATGTAATTTGACATTTACTTTGTTAATTGGTTCGCTAGTCAATTTGGATTCACAATCTTTAATAAGTTTATTGATTTCGTCTTCATAATTGGTATCGACATTTCCTATGAATTTATTTAAAATATTTCTAAAGGCATTGATCCAGATTCTTCCTAATAATGCATTCTTTCTCGAATCTACAACTACTGCTAGTAAATATTTAGTGATTCCTTCATAACTTACTTTAACCTGAGTTGTCCCGATGATTTTAATAGTTTTCGTCGTAGGCTGTAAGCCGCAAACTGGATTTCTTCATTTCTCTTATACCAATTTTTTTAGCCATATCATGAGGTATGATGGTATATTTTGATCCAGTGTCGATCTGCATAGTAGCAGTAATATTATTTAATTTCAAAGTAGTCATAAAGGCACTGTCATCACCTTTATCTGTATTTTCAGCCAGGTTGTTGACATTGAAATCATTCTCATTATTATCTTTGGCAGTGTCAACTTTATTTCCCCAATTTCTTCAATATTCATATTACAATTATTGCTATCGTAGAAGTTTTGATTATCATACTGGATTTGTTTTTTGATTAAAATCCTTCCACCTATTACGATCGTCATATTCGATTTGTTTTCTTTGGTTATCATTATTATGCCACCTGTTGTTTCCTCCATAACTTAATTGTTGTTGAAAGATCGGTAATTATTATGATTTTGATAGTCACATTGAATCTGCCTCCTCTGATTATAATTAAACCAGGCGTTGTTCCTACCATAGTTGTTGTTATAAGATTGATGAATATTATTATGAAAGTTTCTGTTGCTGTTGTTATACCGATGTAATTTTGATAGTTACTATTATTATACTGATCATTTCTATAGTTGTTATTATTATAATTGTTATTGTTTCTAACGTTACTAAAATTCCTATTCCTGTTGTCGTTAACATTACTAAAATTGTTATCACCATGATTTCTATTCCTACTATCAAAATTTTGCCTCGATAAATAATTAGGTCTATTATAGTTACTATTAATCTCATTCCTATTAGAAATACTTTGGGTATCTAAATTCTTATCATTATTTCTATTATTGTCATTATTTTTATTAAATTTTTTATCCCTACTAAAAACATAATTAACATTGTCACTTTCTGATTTAATGTTAATACTATCTAATTTTCTTCCTATTTCAATCATTTCATCTAATGTGTAGTTAATATTTTTATTTAATTTATTTTTTATGTCATTTACATTAGATGTTCTCAATTTTTTTTTTAAGCGATCATCATTAATAAAATTATATTGTCTACTTAATTTAGACAATCTAAAAAACCAATCCAAAAAAGATTCATTAATACCTTGTGAAGCAAGATTCAATATCCAAACATCTTGACTGGGTAATAAAATTTTTAATTTTTTGATAATATTATAATCTTTGATATCTTCCTTAGTACATAATGACTTAATTTTATCGTATAGGTCATCAGATAAATTGCTCATCAATGTTTCAATTTTTACTGAGTCGGATAAAATTGTTTGAGAGAAATAATCGTCAAGTCTTTCCAAGTATATGTCCGTTAAGGGTCCCTCCAACTTTGGGAACTTAACTTGCTAATTTTATCATCCATAATGCAGATTTTTATTTAAAAACTTATTTAAATTAGCAAAGATACATATTGTCACTATTATGTATTCAATTTTTTTTTCCCAAATTGCAAATTTTTATTTTAAAACTTTATTTACATAAGCATAAAGAAATTTTTTTTTTACCTTGTATGTCCTTTATGTCAAATAATTTTTATAATTTATTACATAATTTCAAAAATTTTTATTTTTATTTTTATTTTTTTATATTTATCGGGATATGCACAATATATATGAGATTTTTTTATACATCATTGTGAGTTATCATTCCGGAGCATCATGTTATATAACAATAACTATGGTAAGAAAAACGGTTTTAAGTTATAATTATTTTATTATAAAACTAAAAAAGGATACTAAAAATAAATATAATATAAGGTATTTATATATATGTATTATAAAAAAACAATTTAAACGAAATATATATTTTAAGGCTATAATAACAATTTAAGTTAAATAAAAAAATCAATCGATACTTAATAGAATTATAAAAGAAATCTTTCAGGGGGGGGCAATCAAAAAAATTTATTTTTAGTTCAAGGGGTTAAGACTCCATTAAAAAATTTTTTTTTTGCTTCAGGTGGCTATTTGAATTTTTCAGGGGGCTCGAGCCCCTGCGCCCCCCCCACCCCCATTAACGATGCCACTGATGACATGGATCGCGGCCTTTTGAGAAACGGTAATGGCGATGGCCTAAACTGTCGATGGGGAGCTGACAGACATGATAGGAATGTGATCCTATCCTAAACGAAAGCCTAATTCTCAAGATTCTTCATTGGAAAGATGTAACCCAAAGTTGGAGCTAGGGATAATCTCAAGTCATTTATAACCTAAGTTGAAAGGTTGGATTGTTAGGAAAATCACATTTTTGATTTATTGACGAGATGAGGGTTAAATAATTAATGAAAGACCATTGAAAATTCAAATAAAGACATTATTGGAATGACGGATTAATTGTTTCTTCTAGTTTTGTTATCTGGAGGATAAAGGCAAGGGAGCATTTGAAGCCAACTCCAGATAGAGATCTCTATTGCTGGTTTATATTGCTACGACGTGAATTAAAAGAATATAATTTTATTAAAAAATTTTCACGTCAATACATATCAACTGTCTCAAATAATATGACAAGTTTGATGTTAGATGTCAACATTCTCATTTTAGGAAAATTACAGAATATTTCTCAAAACTGAAGTAAATAATGTTTCATGGATTAAAGTTTTGCGATTCTCCTTTATGGGTAATTAGTATTTTCTATGGTATTCATCTTTTTTTATAAAAATAGGATACAAATTTTACCGTATTTTCAAAATATCCAGATGTAACAAAATGTTTTCAAGATTCTGTTCTTTTATTTTTACCCAGCTTTTATCTTCTATTTACTATCCCATTTTATTTATTATACTTGTATCGATATGGCAAAACCCATATACATCATCACATCACTACCTTAGCATTATTTAAAATAGTAATACCACTATATTTTAAATTTATGCTGAGTAAATTTCTAATTGTTGATATTTTAATACAGTATATTATAAAAATTAATTTTTAGGTAATTCTAGTAGAAACATTAACTTGATTTTTCAGTTTGTCAGAGATAATGAAATGCTCAAATTTTTTATCCAATATTTCATTAATATTCTAATTTTTATGATAAATTATTTCTTATACTTCTATCTAAAATTTAATACCTTCAAGGAAATCTAATGTTAAAATTTAAAAAGTTTTTTAAACTGATATCACAGGCATTAACTGCCATAACTTCATAATATCCAAATTCATTAATTATGAGTTTATTAAATATTATTTCCAATGGTGGCTATCATTTGATTTTGTTTATAAATATTGAGTATCATGCGTTTGTTGATATTGATATATAATTTAAAAAAAGGATTTATTCTTTTTCATGAAAATATTTTGCAAAAATAAATATTATAGTTTACCTCTGGAAGCACTTGGTATATTAGATTTAAAAGATTCCTTTATGAAGGAATTATGATCAATTATAATAGAATAGGAATTATCTAAGGTTTTGATTTGCAATCACAATAGGATCTAGATGGTGATTTATATCATTATTTACTGAATGTTGTTTACAACAGAATAAAATTTTGAAGTAGTTTTAATAATTGTCATATATATTTTGACAAATCATTTATTAGTTAATATATTTTTAGGGCATCACTAAAATACGTGCCCTCGAAAAACTACGTGCCCCCTATGATAGAAGCCTAATTTAAATTATATTATTTTAGAATCGTATTTAGCTTCATAAGATAAGGCCGAAAATGTTTTTTTTTTCATTTAAAAAAATGATAACATAAAGTTTTTAAAAAATTATTTTTTTACATGACTAAAATATGTGCCCCTACGTGCCCCCTATCAAAGAAGCTTAATTTATAAAAAATGAACGCAGAATCATATAGAGCTTATTAAAAGGTATAAAAAATGTTATTATTATTTTTTAAAACTTATTATAACCTAGTGGGCTTTTGAAAAAACAAAAAATTTTTTTTGACTTAACTACGCGCCCCTATGTGCCCCCTATCAAAGAAACTAAATTCATAAAAAATTAAAGCATAATCATATTAAGCTCATTAAAAGGAATCAAAAAATGTTAATTTTAAGTTTATAAATTATTTATAACTTATTAAAATTCAGAAAAAACACTAAATTTCTTCTTTTTTTGACTAAACTACGCGCCCCCATTAAATATACATTATTTTTTAAAAATGAATACAGAATCACGTATAACTTTTCAAGGAGATTCAGAAAATAATATTATTTATATATTTTTTAAAAAAATTTTATTATCAAAATAATTTTTTTTGACTAAACTTCGCGTCCTCTATCAAAGAAGCTTAATTCATAAAAAATTAAAGCATAATAGTATTAAGCTCATTAAAAGGAATCAAAAAATGTTAATATAAAGTTTATAAATTATTTATAACTTATTGAGATTCAGAAAAAACACTTAATTTCTTCTTTTTTTGACTAAACTACGCACCCCCCTAGGCGCTCCCAGTAAACATACATTATTTTAAAAAAATGAATACAGAATCATGTATAACTTTTCAAGGAGATTCAGAAAATGGTATTATTTATTTTTTTTATAAATTTTAATTATCAAAAAAAATTTTTTTGACTTAACTACGCGCCCCTTATTAAAGGAACTTAATTCATAAAAAAATAAAGAATAATCGTATTAAGCACATTAAAAGGAATCAAAAAATGTTAATATTAAGTTTATAAATTATATATAACTTATTGAGATTTGGAAAAAACACTTAATTTCTTCTTATTTTGTCCCGGTAAACATACATTATTTTTAAAAAATGAATACAAAATCATGTATAACTTTTAAAGGAGATTCAGAAAATGGTATTATTTATTATTTAAAAAAAAATTTTTTTTTTGACTAAACTACGCGCCCCCTATCAAAGAAGCTTAATTCATAAAAAAATAAAGCATAATCGTATTAAGCTCATTAAAAGGAATCAAAAAATGTTAATATTAAGTTTATAAATTATTTATAACTTATTGAGATTTGGAAAAACACTTAATTTCTTCTTATTTTGACTAAACTACGCGCCCCCGTTAAATATAAATTATTTAAAAAAAATGAATACACAATGTATAACTGTTAAAGGAGATTAATGTATATTTAATGGGGGCGCGTAGTTTAGTCAATAAGAAGAAATTAAGTGTTTTTCCAAATCTCAATAATTTATAAACTTAATATTAACATTTTTTGATTCCTTTTAATGAGCTTAATACGATTATGCTTTAATTTTTTATGAATTAAGCTTCTCTGATAGGTGGCGGGTGGTTAAGTCAAAAAATTTTTTTTTGATAATTAAATTTAAAAAAATAAATAAATAATACCATTTTCTGAATCTCCTTTAAAAGTTATACATGATTCAGTATTCATTTTTTAAATATAATGTATATTTACCGGGAGCGCGTAGGGGGGCGCGTAGTTAGGCAAAAAAAGAAGAAATTTCCAAATCTCAATAAGTTATAAATAATTTATAAACTTAATATTAACATTTTTTGATTCCTTTTAATGAACTTAATACGATTATGCTTTAATTTTTTATGAATTTAGCTTCTTTGATAGGGGGCGCGTAGTTAAGTCAAAAATTTTTTTTTGTTTTTTCAAAACCCACTAGGTTATAATAAGTTTTAAAAAATATTAATATTCTTTATACCTTTTAATAAACTATATGATTCTGCGTTCATTTTTTATAAATTAAGCTTCCTTGATAGGGGGCGCGTATTTTAGTCATGTAAAAAAATAATTTTTTAAAAGTTTTACTATGTTATCATTTTTTTTAAATGAAAAAAAACATTTTCTGCCTTATCTTATGAAGCTAAATACGATTCTAAAATAATATAATTTAAATTTAGCTTCTATCATAGGGGGCGCGTATTTTAGTCATGCCCTATTTTCAAATTAAAATTTTTTGCAAAATAGCATATTGTTATTTTATAATCTTAATTGGGCCATTTAAAATCGACTCGAATCTGGCTTTTTATTAACAATACCACCAACCTTAATAAGCTCGTTTTTTGGGTGAAACTGCTTTAAAAAATTCTCTCAGCCCCATGAAAATAAAATCAGATTTAACCCTGCTTTGCTATTACCTTATATTGTGCATTTGATTATTTTACAATGTTTATTGGTTTGTCAAAAGGCCTGATGGGTCAATTTTTTAAAATGGTCCAATTAAGATTTTAGCCAAAATAATATTATGTTAGCCTGGAGATTTTGCCCATAAATACCAGAAAGGTTTGGACCTCTATTTGCCAGATAATGAGGCTAACAATATTATAAAAAATTTTTTAATCAGGTATTTTAAAAAATCGACTCAAATTGGGCTATTTAATAAACACTGTTTATTATAGATTTACATTTTCTTATATTTATTGCATCCCCTCAGATCCTCACAGTCTTGCTATGCTTAATCATGGTTGCTGATTTAGTCATACGAATTATTCATTCGAAAACTTATATTATTTCAACGATTTTATTTCCCGCACTTCTTGTTGTATCTTACGTAATTAATTTTTTTTTACATATAATTATATAATATAAATTTCATTTTTTTTTCTTTACAATTTAAGAAACAATATTTTTAAAAATTGATTTAGAATTGTTATTTTTAATCATAGTACATTTAGTTTAAAATTATCAGATAAAAAAACCGGTTGGTTATCTTATATAAGAAAGACATAATTTTTATTCATAAACTATGAATAAAAATTAATACTTTATTTATTAGGCATACAAATATAAAAGTAATAATACAGAATACTTATCCAATATATACAAATAGTTTACATGTACAACTTAAAAATATACTAAATCTAGTATATTAAAATATTTAATTTCACGTAAATATACATTTAAAAAAAATATTGTATTTATGAAAATAATAAATATAAGTAATTTTTACATAACGGATTAAGAAAAATATATAATTTAACAATTCTAGAAATTTTAAGAAATTTAACAACCAACTACTTCATAATACAAAGTATAATAATGGGAATATAATTAGTGCAAATGATAATACGAGGAAGAAGGGGGGGGGGGTAATTTTAAATGATTTAGGGAAGAAGAAGAAAATCTAGATTAATCGAGATCCTCGGGGAATGAACCTATGAAGCATGTGAAATTAGATTTTATAATCTGAAATCCTATGCGTTGACGTAAGTTGAAATGCTTTTTTAAATAATTTTTTTTTCGATAAAAGCTTATTTTAATATGTGGCACTACATTTTTGTGTTTATTATGAATTAAAATCAAAGTATAATTAAAAATTGTCCACCTTATATTTGATGTTTGGTAAGATTTGAAGTGATTGCTAAACATTACTTGTGATAAAACAGAACTAACTGAAAAATACAACTTGTTAAACCACAAGCATAATTTAATTGGTTAAAAGGAATTATTAAAAATTTTGTTAAAATATAATAAAATATAAACCTAACTCCAGCCTATATTCTTTTTATAAGGTGAAATATTTGACGCAAAAAATCAAAATCACACCCTTTACATAAACTTTTAAAAACAGTTAAAAAACACTTTTCATGTTATTTTTCAAGAACTGGCTCTTTTGTAAAATTGATTATGTAAATTAATTCATAATATTTTTTGCGGGAATACTTGACTTGAGGTCAATAGTTTTATCTCAGGTTTAGGCTTAATCTTATGATCCTTATAACTCGAATAAATGATTATAAAATAATTAATTAATGTGCAAACCACAAAATTGCGCTACAGCTATCTCCTGTGTATGGACACTTAATTAATGAATCGCCAATCTTGTAGTATATATATTAATCATTAAAAAAGTAAATTTATCTGCAATGTACCTTTTTTTTAAACAAAAAAATTAAAATGTCAGGCTCTTATGTCTTTCTTATTGTATTACGAGAGGCTGAAAGGGATATGGTCTTCAGGTTACACCTTCAATTTTTGGGTTCTGTGCTCTTGCTACCTTATCGTATACATTTGGTCAAGAAGTATATATATGGAAAAATCGGTGAATAATATTGACCTTTAATTTTAAATTAAGTATTAAAAAATAAGGTTAAAGGAAAAATATTTTGGAGTGAGGGGGGGGGGAATTATAACCAAAAAACATAAATTAAATCATAGGATTTCAGGAAAGCGGATATTAAAATGTTAAAAGCATTAAAAAAACTTATACCCGAGGGCGTTATAAGGGCTGGCCATGATTAACTTCTTTAAAGCTGCGTTAAAACGCTTTCAATATTAAAAGCTTAATGTCAAAAGTCATCTTCCAATCTTTTAACATAAAGCCTTTTTTAAACGCAGCGTTAAAGTGAATCAAGACCAGTTTTTAACATTGCAAACGTTTTAAGAGGAAAAAAGCCCCAGGCCTCCTATTTTTTAGCCGGTAAAAATGGGCTTAAATGCTAAAAACATAGTAATTACCCAATATAGTCCTAAGTGGGTTATACATAATTGTTAATTATCTATATCATTTTTATAATTTAAACTTTAAGAAATAAAAAATTATTTTAATACTCTTATTTAGTGTTGTTAAATGGCTCGTTTTGAGCCAAATTTTAAAAACGGCTAGCTCAATATTTCACCAGAATACTATACGCAAGCCTGAATATTTTGTTTGTAGAAGGAACAAAAGTTTAGACATATTAGCGAAATCTAATATTGAGTTAGCCGTTTTTAAAAATCGGCTCAAAACGAGCCCTTTATTAACACTACTCTTATTTGATAAATGAATACATTACTCTTTTATTTTTTTTAAACAGGTCCTTACAGAATTTTTCCAGTATACCCTTTACATAATGCAGTTGGCCATAGTTATTCTCCAAATAATTCTGCATTGTTTCAATGCTAAAAGTCGATCCAGATTTGACGATAATAAATTCTTATTCTTGAATAAGAAATTTCGAACCGGACGCCTTTCTTCAAAACATAAAGTAAATGATTATATTATAAAAACAAAATTTGTTTTATTATAAACATCTTAATTGGTGCTCTAAAGGTTACTTTAACAGGTGACGTATTTTTTTTTACTTTAATATCACTTCATTTTAATTATACTTTTTATAAGTATATCGCATTTATTATAAAAATCTTACTTTTCTCACTTACATAGGCTCAAAAATCAGAAGAAAACATTAAACTTACTTCAAAATCAAAAGATGAAACCTCTCTGGTAATGATTACATCTTATTTTTTTAAATATTAAATCATAAACAGAAAACATGTCCTGAAATATACGCTTCGTTTTTATCGAGAATTTCTTTTTGGTGGGTTAACAAGTAAAATTATTCATATCAAATGTTTTTTAGCTCACTTTCAACGATTTCTGTTTATTTATATGGGGACATCGCTAGGGAGGGGACACGACGTGCTTGCTCAGGACTAGTGTTGTTAGACTTTTCAATTTTTTAAAACAGCTAATATTTTAGTCAAAAATACTAACAAACCTCTAGATTTTGTTACAGGTGTCTAATCTTTTCTGCAATCTTTGAGCAAAATCTCAAGGCTTGCGTAATATTTTTTTGGATAAAATATTGGGTTAGCCATTTAAAAATGGTGCCGCTTAACAACATTACTCAGGACGTATAAATATGACCCTTTAAGCTTGGTCAGAGGTGAGACCCCAGCATAAAAAATTAATTAAAATTTCTTGGGACTAATTACAATAATTGGATTGGTATATTATTCTCTAGGATTAGGATATTATTTATCTTTTTTTTTAATCATTGAGATGTCCTCTTATTTTTTAAATATGAAATTTTAATTTGGAATGAGCACTCCATTTTTTTCCGAAATATTTATTATTATAAAATAGCAATATACATTTTGGCATTAATGTGTTATTTTTTCAACTTTAAATGTTTTTTTGACCGCATTTTTTTATCCATCATCTAGAAAACCTACCCTATAAGTTTTTAATAATTTTGCTATTGATCTTTGACTCATTTTCTAATTTATATAAAAGATCTACGGAAAACTAAGATGTTATGTATAAGTTCAAAAATTAATGGCAATTTTTTATAAAAATCGCAGAGTAGATTTTGTTAAACAAGTTGGAATACATATCAGGTAAAATCAAATTTTTAAAGTTGAAAAAATAACACATTGATGCTAATATAGACCAAAAACCCGACTTACCTTAGAGCCGATACCTTGAGCTACACCGGGCAATTTTTTAATTTTAACGGATCAAGCCTGGCAATTTTACATGCAATATTTTTGGATCAGGTCTGACAATTTATACTAAAATCAGGCGGGGCTTCACAAATCTTTGATTTTTCGTAAAATTATAATAGGCCAGCCAGTGCATTATTTTGTAGTGCTGTAAGCATTTCCAAAAAGATCGAACGCATTCACGTTCTTCAAAATTTATGGTAATTTTTTTAAAAAATTTTATTTTATATAAAATGTTAAGAAATAAAATAGTTTTATTATGATAATGTAATTATAAATACAATATAATATAGCGAATAAAAAAATATTTTTATTTGTAAAAATTTTTTATTAATTTTTAATAACAATTGTTTTTCAAAATTTTCCTCTGATAGAAAGGAACGTTTGGCAGTTTTACAGCATTATCTATAACGCGCTCTACAAGGACAGAGAGGGTTGCGGTATTATACTTACTTAATAACTAACTCTTTTAACCTAGGGAATTTATTAAAAACATTTATTATTTTGTCCTTTGCTTCAAATAATTGAGATAAGTTATCCATCCTTTACTCTCGAAATTAAAGTTCTTGCATTATCATTTCTAGGGTTTTCAATGCATTTTTTTAATAATGTACGCTTATTTTTTATAGGATTGTTCTGTGGAAGTTTTATCCATGGCCATTGAAGCTTCAATGCTGGATGTATAATTGCAGATAGAACATATTGATCTTCATATATATGTTCAAATCTTTAAAAAAATAATATATATCTAATTAATTTGATAAGGTTTAATATCCTTTATTAATCCCATTTAATACTGCGTCTATCATTGGTTGTGCATATTTAAGGCCACTATTTAAAAAAAAAAATAGCTATTGTTATTGTTGGGGTCAAATAGTCCAAATGCATTTTTCCTCACTTTAGTGAGCTAAGTTGCAATAGGTTCCATGATCTATTTTAATATTTGAAACAATTATTATAATATTTATTCTAAAAAAATTTATTAGGACTTACGGTACAGTATTTTTCCAAAAAAAATTATCATTTATTGAAAGTCTGTTCAATCCTCCCATGTCCCACACTTTGTCAAATAAGTTGGATTTTACTAATGAGCCTCAAAGAATTATAATAAGAATTCCATCTTGTAACAATAGGCCTTATAAGAAATCTTGAGAAGTTATTCTTTACATCAGCTCCAAATGAAGTAGATTGATTTTGCACTTATCAAGTGCACTATATGTTTTTAAAAGATAAATTTTCTAATGCTTTTTCAGCATCAACACTTGCCACTAAATTAAGATTGTAACAAGCACAATAGTGATGTTTGAGCAGATAAATAAAGTTTCCATCATTATTTTGATTATCAAATACCTAATGGTACTGGTTTATCTTCCTCATCTTCAGATATTTTCTTTAATAATCTATAAATTATTTAAAAATAAACATAAAAATTAAAATATGGACTATTTATTTATACTCAAATTTTAAAAGATTTCTTGCATTATCGGTGTATTTTAAATTTTTTGAGAAGGTTTGTAGGAAAGCTAAAAATGTCGATTTTCTTTCCAAAATGACTGAATCCAACCAGTGGACAGTCATGCCTAAAAATGAACTAATAATATATTTTAACAAATTGATAGATTCAATGTATTATATAAATAATACCGATGGTATGATGATCAAGTATCTGCTGTGATACAAAGAATTGTTTATTTGCCCAAACAAGTTATTTTTTTATCTAGTGATGTTGTAATCTTTAGATATTTTTAATACAAGTGTTGGTGTAACATAACCTTTTTATTTGGTTGTAAAGTGGTTATCATATTTAAAAAACAAGGTTTTTCAACTATATTAAAAGGCCCTAGTTCTTCTATTATAAAATTTAAAATTGCATCATCTACTTATTATTACATCACATTTAATGTATTTTTTTTCATATTAAAAAGCAGAGACCTGCAGAGTACCATTTGTACGGCCCGACCCAGATTTTTTTTAAAAAAAATTTTTTCGGCTTGGCCCTGATTATTTTTTAAAAATTATATTCGGCACGGCCTGGCCCGAGTTGTTTTTTTAAAAAAAATTTCAGGCCTGGCCTGAATTTTTTTAAAATATATTTTTTTTATTTTTAATTTTTATACCTAATAATGGCGATTTCAAATATTTCATTTTAAAATATACGGCTCGGCTTAGGGCCGGGCCTGCAGGTCTCTGTTTAAAAGATTTTGTTTTTTAAATTTATAAGCTTTTAATTTTTTTTATTATTATCACTATAATTTTTTATATATTAATTAATTTCTTGCAGCAAACTATCTTGAGAACTCTATAAAAATAAAGTTGATAAATTATGTTACAGATGATAATATTTTATTAAATTGGTAATAGCAAAGTAATGACTTTAAATAATTTAAAATTATTAAAAAAACATTTTGCAAATGCAATTTGATTTAATATTAATATTTATATTATAACTAGCTAATAACCCGTCAAGAATGACAGGGTTGAGGGGTAATTAGTTAGTTTGTGTATATGGTACTAAATATGCTTTATAAAATTTAGGAGAAAAAGAGATAAAATTGTTTCAATGTAACCCGTGAGCATTAAGGGTATTAGAAATATCAAATTAAATTTGTGATAGAAATCATATTGGGTAAAATTTAAAATAGATATGCTTGAAATTTTTTTAATTTTAAATATGTACCAGACATTGGCCTGAAATTTTTTTTCTCAAACCTGGTCAACCCATAATAATTTTGTAATTTTTTTCCAAGCCTGGAGATAGGTAAATCTCTGAAAACCATATTGTTGGGAAAATTTTCTCAAGCCCGCCAAAGACCATAATAATTTTGTTAGTTGAGAACTGAAATAAAATATATAAAAGTCATAATTCATTTAAAAATAAAATCAGAATATGAATGTTGCATGGGCTTGGCTTTTTAATCAGGCCTGGCGATTTCTGTAAAAAAAAATTTTCAGGCCTATGTCTAGCCCATATTTAAAATTAAAAAATTTTCAAGCATTTCTATTTTATATTTTACCCAATATGATTTCTATCACATATCTAAATTTTATTCTAAATATAAAATTAAATTTAAGACATTTTTATTAAATTACAATAAAAATAAATGGCAAAATTTTATGAAAGTTACATGGGACTTGGTATTTTGATCAGGCCTGGCTATGTCTGCAAAAATAATTTTCAGGCCAATGTTATAACCCATATTTAAAATTCAAAAATCTTAATCTCTATTTTATCCAATATGATTTTCATCACAAATTTAAATAATGATATTTCTAATACATGCTCACGGTATAATTGCAACATTTTACCTCTTTTTCTCCTAAATTTTAATATTTTTATATAATTAAAATTTATTAATAAAGTAATACCATACACACAAACTAAATAATTACCCTTCGACTCCATCAGCTAGTATGGTGATAAACGGCAAAATTTTAAAAATATCAGCTATTAATTAATATTTTAAATTTAATTATATTCAAGTTGGTGCATGCTTAAAACATACGCCTTTGAAACGGGAGGTTTGTGGTTCGACTCTCATAGAGAGCAAAAAATAACATTACACTATATATTCTCCTTAAATTTTAAATTATAAATACATTAGGAAGATACGAAAACAATCATGTTTTGATTATGGAGATTATATATATTAGATAATTGCAGATTCTTTTAATTCAATATTCATTATTTTATATTAAATATTTTTATAAAAATATTAAATTTATCATTTATAGTATTTTAACATTGTAAATAAAATTATAAAATCCTAGGTATAATAGATTCAAAGAAATCATTTTTTTTAACTCTTATATAATATATAAAAGTTAAATTATAAAAGTTAAATATTTCTACATAAATTTATACTTCAAATTGTGTTCAACAATTAAAATATAAAATCCTTGATTAAAATAATAGTAATTAGATTATAATTTAAAAAAATGACATTAAAAAAATGATATCAACAATTTTCTATCTATGTACAAAATTTAATGATTTTTTCTTAGAGCAAAAATAAATTATTAACGGGCTGCTTAGTTAAATTACATAAAATAAAATAATCAATATTACAATCAAATGTCGTTTTAAATTGGAACTTAAGATTTTGAA